ACAACGCGCGCCGCAGCCCCTTCTGCAGTCTCTGGAGACTGCGCCGGCCACTGCGGAGGGGCGACTAGATGATTGTGTGTGTGACTGTGAGATGACAAGAAGGGCGAGTAGATCAAGTGGAGATGAAAGAGAATGAAAGAGAATGAAAGACAATGAGAGAAATGAGAGAAAGAGGTGAGATAACAAGATGAGTGTGTGTGTGTGTGAGATGATGAGATGATTGTGTGTGTGAATGTGAGATGTGAGATGACAAGATGAGTGTGTGTGTGTGTGAGATGATGAGATGATTGTGTGTGTGAGATGGGAGATGACAAGAAGGGCGAGTAGATGACGACAACAAACAAATGAGGGAAAGAGGTCAGATGACAAGATGATTGTGTGTGTAAGAGAAGGACGGAAGGGAAGGACGGAAGGACGGAAGGACGGAGGGAAGGACGGAGGGAAGGACGGAAGGACGGAGTCGGGCGGGATGGCAGCCAACAAAACTAGAACCCCACACAGAGATGTGGGGAACAATCAATTCAAAGGGAGTTGAAATAGTGATAGTGAAAGAACTTCCGAGCTACCGCGAAACAACTGCTGAACTAGTGATAGACTTGTTGAAGAGTGACATACACATGCGACAAACGCCATGTGCACGCACATACAAGTAGGCAGTCATTGTATGTCACACTCAAAGGAAACCTTCTTGATGGCGCAAACGAGAGTGGTGCATAAACGAGTGCTGCGGATGTGGCAAGCTAATGGAAAGCAGCTGGGGACATTATCATATTACCTCAATGATCCTCAAAGCATTTGCACAAATCAGTGAGTTGGCTCATGCCCATCTGTTGTTTGGCGCAACCCACAATAATGTACATAGCCGTGTTAACGAGTCGAGACAAACTACAGTAACCAGTTACTCAATCGGGCTAGCTACATTGCCAACGGGAACAGTAGATAGCTCGACCAGGAGCTCACTCCCCACTTTGCCACTCCAAAGTTAGTTTGCCCACTAGACTTAGCTAGCTAGCTTAAAACTTTCTTACCCCAGCAGCTGCTGCAATTGGCACGACACAATCAACACACAAGTTTGTCACCGCGCAGCTGTTCAACTGTTGCTGCAAAACAATGCAGAGGTGCACTGATTACCGTATTCAACCCCTCGACGGTGGTTTTCATGTTTCTGCATGCAACCCAAGCTTGACACCAAAGGCACTGATGTACAGCTGACAGGGCTCACTGGCAACACCCCTGAGGCCTCCACTCCTCTTCAGTGGAAGCTTGCAGCTCACTGCCTGAAAGGACGCAATGAGATCTGAATTGATGATCTACGGCACAAAAGCCTTCAGAGGCTTCGTCATGCTTCATCTAGTATAGCTTCCTAGATGCTGAATCTCATAATCATCAGTTGAGATATCTTGAGACTATTTGACCGTGATGCGTACACATTTCAGCCGGTAGAATCTTTGCTTGAGGCAACGACAAAGCGGCGATGTTTCAAGGCTCTCCCCAGTTGTTTGTGGTGTTCACATAGCAATTATGCCAGTGTACGCTGCCTTGTTCTACTCTGCATAACGTGTCTGATTCTCATCAAATTGACAACATGGTCATGTCCACAACGTTGTCATCAGGTGATGGGGGGTATACGGTATGACAATGTTGTGGCGATGAACATTGGGCATATTTTGCAGGGTAGCACAAAACAGTGTGGCAGTGCGGCATGACTGCTATGCGAACACCACTGCGGAAAGCGTTGAACAACGTGCTCGTCCTTACCTTACCCATTCGCTCATAATAAAAGGAGACTTCACATTGATATGTCCTGTGTCTTGAAAGACGACGCGATACTCAGCCTATGGAGTAAGATCGTCGAGGGATTCACAACAATTTGCACAAGTTTTTTGGCGTTGAGAAATCATGACTTCAGCCACACATCTCCGAGCCCCTAGTAGCGTCCTTGCTCCTAGTAGCTTCAGAATGTCTCTCTAGCCGAGCCACACATCTCCGAACTCTCAGCCATCCTGGCAGCTTCGCTCTTCAGCTCTGCGCACTCAGCGCGGAGCTGCGCCTGGAGC